GACCTTCTGGCCGCCGCGGGGGCTCTGGAGAAGCAGGTCCCTCTCCGATCCTGCCTTCCGGCGTCATCGCAGAGACCGAACCCACTTTCCGCGGGGCCGCCCAGGGAGAAGCTCGATGCCCTCTTCCAGCATTGCGTGGACCGTGGCGGCCACGGGAATCACCGGCCACGAGGATGACGGGGAGGAGGCCGACGCCGTACTCCAGAAGGAGCTCGACAAGGGGTACGCCATGCGGCACCCTGACCGGGGCGCCCTGGAGGCGACGCACGGTCCGCTCACATTGTTCCGTTGGTGCGTGCCGCCGCGGTTCCACAACGTTTATTTGGATACGTTGCATACTTTCGCAAGCGCCAAGGACCCCCTTTTTTATCAGGTGTACTACTTCGTCGCTGAGTTGCAGGGCGTTCTCGCGCTCTTGAAAACGGACTTGAAACCCAGAAACACCTTGCGGGATGCGCCTGCGGAGGGTATCTTAGGACATTGTCTTCTTTGGAGTTGGCACCGGACCTCTTTGACGCGCCTCACACAGGCGACGCTCGGCGGGAAGGGTGGCCGCATCCAGTGTTTCGCGTACGATCCTATCTTGACTATGTCGGGCCCAGCACGTGCAGTCAAGAGATAGTTCCTTAATTTATTTGTCCTACGGCAACTCTTGAGCTTGAGGGCTTCGCGGAAGAAGGTGAGCTTCAGCATCTCGGTCTCCTGGACTGGCGCCGCGACCACTGCCGAGGCGGCCGTGCGCCAAGCTCGTCAGGGACACGTGTGCCGACCCACTGGAGGAACGAAAGCCAGTGCCCCCTGTGGCCAAGGTGAGGCAGCTGGTCGGCCGCGGAGGCCGGACCGGCGGCCTGATGTTCCGGGTCCGGCCGTTTGTCCAGCATGTCTGGGGGGGGCCCTCCAAGGCTCGGAAGAGCAACCCGCAAGGCTCGGAAGAGAAACCAGCCCGTCCTCTCTTTTAAGCAGGTGGGTAATCCTTGCAGTGGCTGGTCGCCTTCGCAACGGAGGCGCCAGTGCACTTCACGCACCGCGCGTGCCTTGTCGACAGACTCTACGGGGCGGCGGCTGTCGCTGCCGGGCATCGCCGTCGGCCCGCCGAGCCGGCGAGGAGCCTTTGCGCGCGCAGGTCGGCAGCCATGCTGGTCAGGCGTCGTGGGAAGCATTTGCGATGCTCCTCACGGCGAAGCTGTGGATCTTGCCAAAGAGGTCCGGCGGATCATCACCCTCGCGGGTGACGCGCAAGGCGCGCTTGCAGCGCTGGTCCGGCTACGTGGAGACTGGACAATCATCGACGATGTGGCCAGGGAGCTCGCCCTCCAGCTGGCCCGTGTGGGCCGTGCTTTCGATGGCCTCCAAGTCTGGGCGGAGCAGAACAAGCTCGCGGACGCGCTGAGCCGGGTCTCCCGCGGCGGCCACCCCCCACCGTTTCCTTTCCGGGGCGCCGCAGGCTACGGTCCCGCACGCGAATGGCCTGGCTCTGCGAGTGTTGCGGGTCAAGACCACAGGCCGAGAGCGCGCCTGCACGCGCAGCGTCAGCCGCTGGGCGTCAAAGACGCGCTGCGCCCGCACTCCTGAGCGCGTTTTCTTCTATTGGGGGAAGAGCCCCGTGCATGCACGTGCGTATTTGTACTTGCTCGCGCGCGCGCCCCGCCGCGCGCTAGCTGGGCAGTTCGCTGGCAGTCAGCGGGGGCGCGGCCTGCCATGCGCCCTGTTCCGCGGGACACGCAGCCGCCGCCCCCCCCGCCAGCGCTGGCCGCGGTGCGGAAAAGTGGAATTGAGATTGCCCCAGGCGGGGGGGCTCGGATCCTGCTCTGTCGGGTCTCCGGCTGGTGACCCCGGATAAGAGGCTGGCGCTGCCGCGGCCAGTTCTCGGCTATCCCGGCCCACCCTGGACCTGTAGCGCCGCCGCTGGCGGCGCAGCCCGCGGCGCGAGCCCTCCAAGTGGCGACAGGGCGGCCCTGTGGCGACATGCTTCCCGGCGCTGCGGCATCCGTCGATGGGGCGATGGCGACTTCAGGAAAGCGCGCCAGTGGATGACCCTGAATACACAAGGGGAGTCGGTGCTCGCAGAACCCACCCACCCACCCCCCTTCCCCCCCTTCAAAAGGGGGGGTGAGATTTTCCACCCCCCTCCGCTTCCCCTCTTAAGGGGGGGAGGGTTCCGAACCCCCCCCCACCCTCCTTGAAGGGGAGGGGTGGGTTTTCCGACCCCCCCCCCGGCGCGATAGTAGATAGTAGTGAGGAGTGAGTAGTGAGTAGAGAGTAGTGGGTACTGAGTAGTGAGTAGTGATTAGTGAGCAGTGAGTAGTGGGTGGTGGGGAGTGGGTATTGAGTAGTGTGTAGCGAGTAGGGAGTAGCGAGTAGTGAATAGTGAGTAGCGAGTAGGGAATTGTGAGTAGTGAGTATCGAGGGGTGAGTAGTCAGTAGTGAGTAGCGAGTAGAGAGTAGTGAGTAGGGAGTTGCGAGTAGTGAGTCGTGAGTAGTGAGTCGTGAGTAGTGAGTAGTGAGTAGTGGGTAGTGGGGAGTGGGTAGGTAGTGGGGAGTGGGCAGTGGGTCGTGTGTAGCCAGCCGAGGGTAGCGAGTAGTGAGTAGTAAGTAGCGAGTAGGGCATTGTGAGTAGTCAGTAGTGCGAACTGAGTAGTCAGTAGGGAGTCGGGAGTAGTGAGTAGCGACCAGGGAGTAGCAAGTAGTGAGTAGTGGGTACTGAGTAGAGAGTAGTGCGTAGGGACTAGTGATTACCGAGTAGTGCGAAGTGAGAAGTGGGTAGTGAGTAGTGGGTAGTGCGTAGGGGGTAGCGAATAGAGAGTCGTGGGTAGTGAGTAGTGAGTCGTGGATAGTGAGTAGTGGGTGGTGAATAGTGAGCAGTTAGTAGTGACGTGTGACTAGTGAGTAGGGAGTCGGGAGTCGGGAGTATTGGGTAGTGCGTAGTGGGTACTGAATATTGCGTATCGGGTAGCGATTAGCGAATAGGGGGTAGCGAGTAGTGAGTAGTGATTAGTGAACAGTGAGTACTGTGTCAGGAGTAGGGAGTAGCGAGTAGCGAGACGCGGATAGTGAGTAGTTAGTTGTGGGTATTGAATACTGAGTAGTGAATTGTGAGTACCCAGTAGCGAGTAGTGGGAAGTGTTCAATGGGTGGTGATATAATTCGTGATTAATGAGTAGTGAGTAGGTGGTGGTGAGAAATGTTTAGTGAGTAGTGAGTATTGTGTGGTGGGTAGTGGATACCGAGTGTTGAGTAGTGAGTTGGGAGTTGTGAGTAGTGGGCCGTGAGTAGTTTGTAGTGGGTAGTGATTAGTGAGTAGTGAGTAGTGGGCACTGAATTACGCAAAGTTGCGAGTAGCGTGCTGTGATTAGTGGGTCGGGAGTCGGGAGTAGTGAGCAATGAGTAGTGGGTAGCGAGTAGTGAGTAGTGGTCACTGAGTAGTGAATGATGAGTACTGAGTGCTGTTTGGGGCTATGGTTAGAGTTTGAGGTTCTGGTTTCATGTGGTCGGGGTGGTAGCGTTAAGGGTGGGAGGGGTCGGGTTCCGGAGCCCAGGGGCGCCGTGGCGAAAGGGCGGGGGGCTCGAATTTGGCGGCCAAAGGTGGGAAGAGGGGGGGTCGGACCCCCCTTTCTCCCCCTTTGGAACGGGGGGCAGAGGGGGGGGATCCCCGCCGACGGACCGTGAAAAGGAGGGAATGAGGGGGGGGTCCCCGACGCCGGACCGGGAAAGGGTGGGACAAGGGGGGGGGGTCCCCGACGACGGATCGGGGAAAAGGGGGGGGGGGTGGGAACCCCCGCTGGGGCTATTCAGCGGCTCGCCCTCCGACTTTAGGGGCTCGTCAGTGCCCCGTTGGAAGTTCGGGCCCTCCGAGGCCAGGCGCGCCGCGCCGAAGACTGCGCCCCCAGAGGTTCTCCGCAGGAAACGATGGCCAGAAGCGGGCTTCGGCTAGGCATGTCGAGCCGCGCCCGATTGGGCACGCCGCGGCGCTCCTCCAAGCCGCCGGCTACCGCGGCGCGGCCAATGACCTGGAGAAGACGAAGCAAGAGCACGCCAGGTTGGGACATGCGTGGACGGACCAACTCGACCAAACGCTTGCTGCGGCCACGCGCAGCTGCCAAAAAAAACAGGGCCCGCCCCAACAGGCCCCGTTCGCGGATCGGGACTGCGCATCGGCCTCAGCGCCGGCGGTGGTGACGCTAGGCGGCCCGCCAGGCTCGGCGGAACCACTCGAGCCATTCCTGGCCTTCGGTCCTCACCTTCTGGCTCATGCGCGAGATTGATGTTCCCACGGCGAAGCTAGGTGCCATGTCCTTTGAGCCTGGCCCTGAAGGCTGTCGCGGGGAGGTGACCATCGGCGTGTCTGTTTCGAAGAGCGACTAGAGCGCGCTTAGGAAGCAGCGCGCGCATGGATGCGCTTGTCCTTTGGCCTGCCCAGCGTCGCATCTGCGTCGCGCGGCTGGTGCGGCGGAGAAGGCCGGTGCCGCCCAGACCGCGGGCGCCGCGGACGAGTTGTTTCTGTTCCTCGCGGCTGATGGTAAACATCCGACCAAGGTGGGCATGGTTTGAGCATTCCCCAGGGTCTTTCGCTCCGCGGGTTTGGACGTGGCCCTGACAGGGCTGGGCTTCGAGCCCTGCCCGAACTCCTGGGGCTCTCTCGTCGCCCCCGCCGGAGCCCCCCGAAATCTTGGCCGAGGCCACAGCAGCACCCCGCCGCGCCGCCGCCGCCGCCGCCGCCGCCTCTGCCGTCATCGTCGTCATCTTCTTCGTCGTCGTGGTCGTCGCTGTCGTCGTCGTCGTCGTCGCCATACGCAGTCGCCGTCGTCGTCCGCCGCCGTCGTTCGCCGTCGCCGTCGCCGTCATCGCCGTCGTTGTCGTCGTCGTGGTCTTCGTCGTCGTCGCTGCCGTCGCCGTCGTCGTCGGCGCCGTCGCCGTCGGCGCCGCCGTCGTTCATCACCCCCCGGGGGCGGGGGCCCCGCCGCACCGCGTTGGCGGGGCGCCGTCGGCGCCGCGCCTCCGAGGGACCGCTCCCCCGACTACTCGGACGACGACCGCGACCGACGAAGGCCGCCCCGGAGCGCCGCTCCAACTCCCTTGGCCTCTGCTCGGAAGGATACTTCCCTGGGATAAGGCTTTTTTCTTCCTTTTTTTCACTTAGTGAACAGACATTCCCATTCCCATTCCTCTCCTCCTTTCCCTCCTCCTCCTCCCTCTCCTCCTTCCCCTCTTCCTTATCCCTCTCCTCCTCCTCCTCCTCCTCCTCCTCCTCCTCCTCCTCCTCCTCCTCCTCCTCCGTCTCCTCCTCTTGCTCCCCATCCTCCTCCTCCTTCCCCTCCTCCTTTTCCTTCTCCTCCTTCTTCTCCTCCTCCTCCTGCCTATCCCTCCTTCTCCTCCTCCTCCTCCTCCTCCACCGCCTGCTCTCTTCCCTCCCCCCTCCTTCTCTCCCCCCTCGTCCAATCCCTCCTCCTCCGTCCTTTCCACTCCAGATTTCGTAATAAAGGGAGGGGGGTCTCATTTCGGGGGGGGTCTCTTCCAGGCTATCTTGGAGGGCCTGGGGGGGTCTGGGGACGATGTTTTGGAGGGTTCTCCCACGGGGGAGGTCTGAAATGGCTTGTCTTGGAGGGTCCAGACCCCCTCCCTTTTATTACGAAATCTGAAGTAGGCCTTTTAGATGGGGTCCGAGCAGAGGGGGTCGGAGGGTCGCGCCGCACCGCCAATGCATCGGCGATGCGGCTCCCTGCTGAGCCCGACGTTCTCCACACGGACGTCGCCGACGCATCGCCGACGTGACCGATGCATCGCTAGTGCATCGCCGATGCACCGCCGATGCATCACCGACGCATCGCCGATGCGGCGCGATCCTCCGACCCCTATCTAGGAGGCCTCTAGTAATTGAATTTAGCCTCTGGGCCTCCAGGCGGTTCAAGAGGCTGTCACGACGACTCGCGAGTGCCCTCAGAGCTCCCTCAGAGCGCTCAAAGACTGCTTCAAGAGGCCCTCCAGACGCCCAGAGAGGCTCCCCCACGAGGGTGCCGAGGCAACATTGACTGGTTGTTGAAGGATTTGAGCGTTGTCGATGTTCCGTGCTTCCGACCGCACATGACGGCCCAAGATACCTCCAAGATTGCTCCAAGACGGCCAAGGATGCCATTAAGAGCGCCCCAGGACGCTCCAGAGGGTCCCAGGACGGCCCAAGAGGTTCCCCCAAAGGGCGCAATACCCAATAAGCCCCGAGCAGATCCCCCAGAGGGCCCCCCTGACATCCCTAGCTGGCCCCCACGAGGCCTCCAAGATTGAGGATGAAGAACAGACACAAACACGCACACACACACATTTATAAACATAACTTTTCTTCATCGGAAGAAAGGATTGGTGGGGATTGTCTACAATTCCTTGTCTCCGCGTCTTTACCCCGCCCATTGTCAAGAAACATAGTTCCTGAACTGCTGCAGAAACGTCCTTGCCGTTTCCGCGGCCAACGGAGTTATTGAGATAGGTATGCGGTTCTGTCGAGATCAGAGACACATGTGCACAATCATGGTCCGCCGGATCTATCGAGACGGTCTTAGATGGCCCATGTAAGTTCAGAAATCGTCCAGCCAAGATGAGTTTCAACATTGTTAGGCTTACTTGTGGAGGACGAAGATGACGAGGGATGTGGGGATGCGAACGATGAAGGCACGGAGGGGCATGAGGCGGAGGAGGAGGTCCAAGTAGACGCTTACAGGAGCTTTGACTGCATACATAAGGAGCAGGCGGGTGAGGAGGAGCAGGAATAGGAAGAGGAGGCAACCACGACGACAATGACGACGACGACGACCAGGACGATGAGGTGATAGTGAGGTTGATGTCGATGTTGAGGTTGATCGTGCTAATGATAATGATGATGGTGGTGATGCTGATTAGGATGATGATGATGATGATGATGATGATGGTGATGATGATGATGATGATGGTGATGGTGGTGGTGATGACGCTGCTGATGATGTTGATGTTGATACTGGAATTTATGATGATGCTGATGATGATCATGATCAGGATGATGATGCTGATGATGATTGTGATGGTGATGATGCTGATGCTGATGCTGATGCTGATGATGATGATGATGATGATGATGATCATGACGATGATGCTGCTGATGATGATGCTGATGACGGTGAGGATGCTGGTGAGGATGATGAAGATCATCATGAGGTCCCAGAGGGAACGGGGAGGTTGTGGAGGAGTCGAAAGCGGAAGAGCAGGGCGAGCAGGAGAAGGTGAAGGAGGAACAGAAGGAGGAGTGGGAAGATAAGGGGGGGTTGCGTTGGGGTTTCTTTTGGCGCTCTGAGCGTGTCCTTGTCATCGTCGTGGTAGTTCGATCCTGACGCGCATGTGGGTACATGCGCATGTATTTCATTGTCGAGAGCTGGGGCACCCTGGAATCTGAGGGCGCGCGAAACGTGCGCGTGGCTGAAGCAGTTCTATATATATATATATGTAGAGAGAGAGAGAGAGAAAGAGAGAGAGAGAATGTGTGATTATTCGTGTTGTACATACACACGCGCATATGTTGTGCGTACTTGCGCGCCCAGAGCGCGTAGCGTCCGTGCCAGTGACGGCCACAGCATGCCCACCCGTTTGCAACCGAGGGGCGTGCCCAGCAAGTTCATGGCGGCATCGGCGGGCTCGTTCGGGTGTGGTCAGTTGTGCGGCATGCTCCACGCAATCTTAAGCTTAGCGCCATACAGGTGTATGCATGCATACACATGTACACATACATCTAAGCATGTACCTGCACTTACATAAAAAGAGAGATATTGCACATGTGTGTATGTGTGGATACGTGTGTGTATGATATCAGCTCTCTCTGCCGCCGGTCACCCAGACTGAGCGAGCATGGGACGTCTTGGGGCCGTTAGGACTATCGTTTGGCCACCTTGAGTAATATCGGGGACATCCTGATGCCTCTCGGGCCCATCTTAAGGGCCATCTTTGGGCGTGGCCGGTTTGGGTGGTATCTTGGAAAATGGGGGGGCGCCTTGGGTCCATGTTGGCAAGATTAGCGGCTTTTGAGGCCGTCTTGAAGCGATAGATTGACATTTTGGAAACGAAACGTGGGACAGGCAACGCATGTTGTTATTTCTTGATGTTCAATGCTTCGCTTCCCTTCTCAGGGGCGTATGGAAGCCTTCCTGTGCCATTGTCGATACATACTGGGGTCATCTTCAGCCGTATTGTCCTCGTGAATCCGATCCCTAAATTTCTAAACCCTTACCCGATAACCGATTCTTCGCCCCAAACCGCTATTCAGCGACCCCAGAACCCGAACGCAACCCTTCGTCCGACCTCCGACGATACGACACGCTCGTGTCGCCGACCCCCACAGTTCTCAACCCTTCCCCGAACACCGATCCTTCGCCCCGAACCGCTTTTCAGCGACCCCAGAACCCGATCGCAACCCCTTCGTCCGACCTCCGGCGATACGACACGCTCGTGTCGCCGACCCCTAAATGTTTCTCAACCCTTCCCCGAACACCGATCCTTCGCCTTCGCCCCGAACCGCTATTCAGCGACCCCAGAACCCGAACGCAACCCCTTCGTCCGACCTCCGGCGACACGACACGCTCGTGTCGCCGACCCCCACAGTTCTCAACCCTTCCCCGAACACCGATCCTTCGCCCCGAACCGCTTTTTCAGCGACCCCAGAACCCGAACGCAACCCCTTCGAGGAGGAGGAGGAGGAGGAGGAGGGGGAGAAGGAAGAGAAGGAGGAGGAACAGAAGAGAGGAGGGAGCAGGGAGGAGGGAGGAGGGGGAGAGGGAGGAGGGAGGAGGGAGGAGGAGGAGGAGGAGGAGGAGGAGGAGGAGGAGGAGGAGGAGGAGGAGGAGGAGGACGAGTCCGACCTCCGGCGATGCGACGCGCTCGCGTCGCCGGCCCCCGGACTTCTCGGCCCCCTGCCCGCGGGCCGGCTCCTCGCCCGAATGGCCGCTGTCCGGAGGGCCCCGGGGCCCGAGAGTGGCGCGCACGCGGGAGGGGAGGGAAAGCGAAGGCAGCCTCGGGCTCGCTGTGTTCGAGTCGCCTCCTATAGTCTCGTGGGAGCCGATGAGGTGGAGAGGAGGCGGGCTGCCAAAGAATTCCCAGATGTCTCAGAGATGTCTCGAATATGGCTTGACTATGTGTTTTTTGCTGTTTTGCCTTTTTTGCAAAAAAAAAAAAAAAACATGTTCGAAGCGGTTTCAGAGCATGTCTTAGACATTTTAAACACATCTTCAATTCAATGATAGGATTGTTAGAGTGTCCATTGTCATGGCATCCACAACTCTAGTCGCTGGGTGGATGTCTGACACCGAGCCGTCCCAGACATCTGGCAGGCCCCGGCCCCCTTCCCTGGGGCGGCTGCTCTTCCTGGTTGCCCGAGGCTGGGTCCCGAGATCGAGGAACGGATCCGACAGTGCAAAAGTCATACTATTGGTCGGGCGGGCGGTAATGCGTGAGTGATCGTTTTGGTAATTCAGTGTTTTGTCGATCGGCGCGGGCCCTCGCACTCCTCCCCCTGCCCCCCCCCATGGACTGGATCTTGGCTGTTTTGGTCGCCTGTTTCGACCAGGTGGAGTCCCTCCCCCATAGGACGCACTGCCGCAAACAGTCGCACTCAGCAGATGTCCGGAGCCAGACCCCCCCCCTCCCCCCCCCCTTCCGCCCAATGTCGAAACGCCGAATAAGAGAACGCTGACTAATGAGTGGTGGCCGATATGGGGTGTGAAGACAGGGGCCCTGAAGGGGCATTTTAGGGCTCCTTCTGGGCACCAGCTTGCTTCCAAAGGAGGCCCTAATAGGGTCCTTTTCTTCACCTCCCATTGGGGCCACCCCCCTAGCATTAAGTCGGGCGCGTCCCTCTACAGGAGGAATATTCAAGAAATAGTGACAGACTACCCTGGGGACGATTTGTCGATCATTGTTGCATTATTTCTGCATGTGCTTTGCCTATGCTTTATCCTTGCTCAAAAAACCCGCCTGTAGGAGCACGTGCCCGACCCGACATTCGCACCCGCCCGAGTTGGGGACCCGGGCTCCCTGCGGCGTCGAAGAACCCGGCGCGCCGACGCCACGCAACCGCTCCACGAGAGTCCCGCCCGCCCGCACCGCAAGAGGCAGGCGGGGAAAGAACCTTCAGGCACAATCCAACTGATCCTCCTCCTCCTCCTCCCCCTCCTCCTCCTCCTCCTCCTCCTCCTCCTCCTCCTCTTCCTTCTCCCTGTCTCCTCCTCCTCCTCCTCCTCCGCCTCCTCCTCCTCCTCCTCCTCCTCCTGCAACGTCGGTTTCCATGAAAATAGGGGAAAAGATGGGAAGTGTGGGGAAGGCGAAAGCACAGGAAACGTGGGAGAATGCAGGGTATCCTGGGATCTGTGTGTATTTCTCTGTGTGTCCCTGGGCCCCTTCAAAGAGGTAGGCTTTTGCCGAGGCCGCGGCGGCTCTCCCTCGCGCCACGATCGGCGACTACAAAGGGTATGGTTACGCTGGGGTGTGGTTTGCGATCGGCACCGTTGGACTTTCCGGGCCTCCTCGGGGCGCGGGAGAACTCGATCGAGGTCCCCGCGCGCCCCCCAGGGTGCCCCCCAGGATGTTCCCCAGGGTGCCGGCTTCAAACCACACCCTTTGCAAACCACACCCTTTGGAGTCGCCGACACGAGCCCCGCCCGCACCGCAAGAGGCAGGCTTGCCGAGGCCGCGGCGGCTCTCCCTCGCGAGCCTCCATCGCGCTCCTCCGCGCCGCGCCGCGCCAGGCCCACCAGGGACGACCGAGACCGCCGCGACCGGGACCGCCGCGACCGGGACCGGCGAGACCAGGCAGCTCCTCCTCCTCCTGCTCATCCTGCTCCTCCTGCTCCTCCTCCTGCTCCTCCTCCTCGCCCGCCTCCTCCTGCTCCTCGCCCTCCTCCTCCTCCTTCTCCTTCTCGCCCTCCTCCTCCTCCTCCCCCTCCTCCTCCCCCTCCTCCTCGTCCTCCTCCTCCTTCCCCACGGTCTGTCTCTCCTCCTCATCCTCCTGCTCCGCCCCGGCGACAGCAGGGACGGCGGCGGCCACGCTCTACCAGGCCTCCTGGACGGGGTCGGAGTAGATGAGGTCGGAGGATCGCGCCGCATCGACGATGCGGCTCGATGCGGAGACCGATTTTCTTCACGCCGACGTCGCCAATGCTTCGCGGACGTCGGCGATGCGACGATGCATTTCCGATGCATTGACGATTCGGCGCGATCCTCCGACCACATCTACTCCGACCCTATACAGGAGTTCTCTAGGGATAGGGGGAGGAGGGAAGGCTTCTCAGAAGCATCCCTGCTCCTCAGAAGGCGCGGGCCTTATCTATAGACGTATGGACGGCGCCTTCTAAGAAACAGCCTCCTTCTAAGAAGCTCCCCCCACTCTCCGTGCCCCCATCTGTGCGCGCCACCAAACTGCGGCGGCCCCAGATCTCCGACGACATGTTTATGTTGCAGTCCCTTCTCCTTTTCTCGGCTTCGGCCCTGGACTGGAATGCGTGCGGGGCGAAGAGCTGCGCGCATTAAAAAGAACAGATCGTCGTTCGTATGCGACGACGACGACCAGGACGACGGCAGCCCTCGCAGCCCCGACGCCGACGACGACGCCGCCGTGAAGGAAATGGGGATCCCCGACGTAATCGGATCCTGCTCTGGGTTTCGGTTTCCTGGGGCCCGTCGAGAAACGGGTGAACAAAAGCGGCGAGGACCTTGAGATCCGATGGAGGATGTTCGGACGACCCAGAGCAGGAGGAGGAGCAGCAAAAAGGGGGCACGATGAGGGGCAGGGGGAGGGCGGAGGGGGCCAGGAGATGGGGAGGGAGGCGGGGGAGCAGCAGGAGGAGGACGAGAGACGACAGGGCGCATAGGTGGGTGGAGAGTGGAGAAGCAGGACGACGACGACGACGACGACGACGTCGACGACGACGACGACGACGACGCCACGACAGGCCGACGCCGGCTCCGACCAGTTCGTGCCGCGGCTGGCCGCCCCGGGATCGAAGGGCGCCGCGCGCCGCGCCGCGCCGCGCCCTGCTCGGGGAGGGGGGGAGGCGGCGGCCTGGCGAGGGGAGGATCTCTCTCGGCACGAGGCGCGGGCCACGACGACGACGAGCACGACGAGCACGACGATGACGACGACGACGACGACGACGACGACGACGACGACGACGACGAAGACGCCGCGCCCCGCTTGGGCGGGACGCTGCGGCGGCACGGCGAGGGGAGCGTCTCTCTCGGCACGAGGCGAGGGCATCGCGGCACGAGGTGCTCGAGGGTCGAGGAGTCTCGGGCGGGTGGTAACGGGGGGTGACCAAAACAGGGGCCTGAAGGGTCCCCAGCTGGTGCCCAAAAAGGGCCCTAAAACTTCCTCTTCGCCCCTCCCCCCTTTGGGCCACCGCCCATTACCACCGCTCGGGGGGGGGGGCGACGGCACGGAGGGGGGAGGTTCTCTCTCAGCACGAGGCGCGGGCATCGTGGCACGAGGTGCTCGAGGGCCGAGGAGCTTCGGGCGGGTGGTAATGGGTGGCCAAAACGGGGAGGTGAAGAATAGGGTCCCTTTGGCGCCCCAAGGGGGGGGATTTTCTCGGCACGAGGCTCGGGCATCGTGCCTCGAAGTTCTCGAGGGTCGGACATAAACTTGTTGCGCTCCGCGCGGATTCAAGAAATCCGCGCGGAGCGCCAAAAGTTTATGTCTGATGCAGTGTGTGTTCTTCTTATTTTTCTTCTTCTTCTTCTTCTTCTATCCAAGGCTGCGGTTTGCGCACAGGCAGCCCCCTCAGGCAATCCCGGCTGGCCTCGGCAGGTTTCGCCGAGTCATTTCAGAATAGTCCGCCCCATTGGGCGCCGCCAGAGGCTGCGCCGGGATGCTGAGACCGCCCCGGACTGCTCGGAGGCCCGCCGAGGCCAGCCCGGATGGGGGGCTGGCCGTGCGCAGCCCGCAGCCGCACCGCTCCTCGGCCCTCGACCTCCGCGGGCGCCTTCTGGAGCCTGGTGCCGAGGAGCCCCCCCCTCCCCGTGCCGCCCGAGGCCCGAGGGCAGAGAGGGCACGGGGCTCCGCAGGAGGGGGGCCCCTGGGGCAGAGCCCCGCCGCGGCGCTCGCGGGCGCGGCCAGCTGCGCGCCCCTTGGCCGCTGTGCTCCCGTGTCGGAGGCACGAGGCAATGCCCGTCGGTCTGTGGCCGCAGGTATTTCCTGGATTCCCCGATCTCCGTAAACTTCCGGCGCCTCCGCACTTCGTCTGACGAGCGCTGCTCGCACTGCCCTGGTCTTTCGGGGCGGGCGGAAGCCACGCCTACCTCCAACGCCTTCCCTGCTTCATGTCTCTGCCCACTTCTTGCGGGCCGAACGCAAGGGGGGGGACAGGGAAAAGAGGGGTTATGGAATCTGCCGCATGCAGCTGGTTTCGGTCCCGCCGCCGGGCCCATTCCTCGATACATGGGCGCCTCCTGGCGCCGGGAGGCGCTGGAACAATCAGCTACGTGAGCTGATTCTCTGCCCTACCCTTTGCTATCCCCCCCCGTTTCGTTCCCCCCGATTCATGTTTCGACCCATCGCTTCCGACCGACGGGCACAGTCACGCTCCACGAGAAGGGCTCACGGCTTCCTTCGTGTACCCTCGCGTCCTCGCCTCGGCGGCGGTGGCCCGCAGGGCACCGTCGGGCGGCGGGCGGCGTCCCCTCGGCTGCGCGGGGCGGAGCGCCCATGCGGCAAGGGACGGGGGCGGGTACGGCGCGAGGGGGGGTGGGAGAGGGGGGCGGGGAAGGGCTCTCCTCTCGTCCACTCCCCACCGCACGAGCGTAAGGGGCCGCCCACCAGCGATAGCACTATGGCACACGTCCGATCCAGAGGCGGAGGAGGAGGAGGAGGATGTTAAGAAGTTGGCGGTTGGGCGCGATGGCGCGCGGGCGACGCCGGCGAAGGCGTTCAAGGTCGATCTCTGCAACGCGACAGCACCAGTGGACACGGTAACGCCACTGGACCCTAGGAAATTTCAACCTGGAACGATCGGGGCCGTGATGGGTTCAAGGTTGACCGATCGACGCGGTGTCGAAAGCCTCTGCGCGCGCCGGCGCCGCACGAACCTACCGTAGGGTTGAGTCGGGGGTGTCCCTCTACAGGAGGAATCTCCCAAAACCATCCAAAAACAGTCTGGGGATGCTGTTTCCGCCATTTGTCACCGTTATTTTGGGGGGCATGTTTGGATTATGTGTTTCGTCCAAAATCCGCCTGTAGGAGGACATGCCCGATCTAAGGGTAGGGTACCAGAGCGTCCCCGGGGTGTTGGCGGCCCACCCGCTAAAACCTGCCAGCTTCGGCGGCCAACGCCATTGCGGCCGTACGCTCGTCCTTATGGTGATCGCTTTTGTTGCTCGTTGTTTTGCATATCAGCGCGGGCCCACCCCCCCTCCCCCTCCCCCCCTATGGAGTAGATATTGGCTGTTTTTTGGCGCCTGTTTCGAGCGGGTGGAGTCTCCCCCAGAGGCAGCACTCTTGCAAGCCGTCGCACTAAGCAGAGGTCTGGAGCCAGACCCCCCTTGCGTGGTGAACAGAAGCGCGACAGCATGTGGCAGTCTCAGCGCGGAATCAATACGACGGAAGACTGTTGCGGCGGACCCAGGAAGTTGTCTGCACAAAACGTGGCCAGTCTGGGCGAGAGATGGATACATCTTGCTGGGTGTATTTCCAGCGCTCGGTCGTTTACGGCAGGATGTGTGTGTCCAACGCATGGGTTCCAGATGCTTCACATATAAGTCCAGGCATGTGTGGTTCCCCAGCTTCCTTGTAGCACGAAATTCGAGGATTTATAGCAAGAAGATCGAGGATCGAGGATGTTTTAGGTTCGAGGGTCCTGCATCCTCGAGTCGTGACACGAATCAAAGCTGACCGTGTTTGAAAATCTTCGACCTCCTCGGACCAACACCGGGCCTTGGGACCGTCAAAACAAAGCTTGGGCTCAGAAGTTAGTCACCAGAAAGGATCCAGACCTCTAGAGATCCGCATGAAACTTCGAGACTCTGTGTTGATGTAGACGTTTCTTCTGGAGGGGGAGAGGCTCCTTGATCGACGACGGCCAAGCTGGAGGAGAAGGATGAGGACGAACTTCGGATTGGACGAGAGAGGATTGCCTCCTTGGTCGACGGCGGCGAGCAAGGAGGAAGAGGAGACAAAATGAACCCACAATTCTCATCACACAGTCTGAGGAGGGGGAGAGGTGAGTTATATGACGAGGAGGAGGAGCGATTCCCCCTGGCCCCCCCGAGTCCGCCCCACTTGGTCAACGATGGCGACCCCAGAGAGGAGCACGGCGGCGGCGACGACGTCGACCGCGGCGACGGCTGCGCAGGGCGAGCCCACGGCGCCCGCGGCGACGCCCACGGCGCCGGGCGCCCGCGCCACGGCATCGCGGCGGCGGCGGCGGCGGCGGCGGCGGCGGCGGCGGCGCTCCGCGGCGGCGGCGGCGAGGCGCCTCGGCGAGCGGCGGCGGCGGCGGCGCGCTGCGCAGGGGGGCCGTCGTTCCTGCCGCCGCCGCCGGGCGGCGGCGGGGCGCCGGCGGCCTCGTCCTCGGCGGGCCCGGCTGGCGGAGGCGCGCGGCCTCCGCTGCCGCGGGCGCGGCTCGTCCGCGGCGTCCGGCGCGCTGCTCGTCGCTCTATCGGCGCTCTCGTCGTTCCTCGCTGTCCTCGCGATTGAGAAGCTTGGCATCGCTCGGACGTGTGCATTGTTCCTTCGGCGAGGACCATCGAGGAGCATCCTTGCTGACATACACAGGGAATGGACGTCCGAGAGATGGCCAGGAAGAAGCAGAAGTAGAACAGCGGCATAAACATACACTTCTGGCGCTCCGCGCGGAGTTCTCGGATCCGCGCCTGGGCCCCCCTTTGGACGGCGCCTCCGGCGCCGTCCCTGGCGCGTTCCGCGCGCCAGGGAGGGGGGTCCAGCGCAGATCCAAGAAATCCGCGCGGAGCGCCAAAAGTTGATGTTCCTGCCGTTTTGCACTCTTCCCTCCTCTCCCCGACCTCCGCCTCGACCCACGTCGTGGGCACAGTGCGTCTGGGTGGGGGAGCGGCTGCTGCCCGCTGCCGCAGAAGCGGTTGGTCCTCGGCGTTCGCCACTCTTCTCGTCGCGCGTCGCCCTCCTCGCTCCTCGCGCTCCTTCCGAAGAAGAAAAAACGACATAAACATAAACATTGGCGTTGGCGTCGTGCCCACCAGCGGGGACCCCGCCGCTGGCGTTCGACCTTGAGCGCCTTTGGCGACCCAGAATCGGTCGATGTGGGACGATCTGCCTTGAAGAAAAGGGGCTATGAACATAAACTTTGGCGCTCCGCGCGGACTTCTCGGATCCGCGCTTGGGCACCCCCAGCGGCGCCTCCGGCGCCGTCCCTGGCGCGCTCCGCGCGCCAGGGAGGGGGGTCAGCGCAGATCCAAGAAATCCGCGCGGAGCGCCAAAAGTTTATGTTTATGCAGTTTTTTCCTCTTCCCTCCTCTCCCCGACCTCCACCTCGACCCACGTCGTGGGCACAGTGCGTCTGGGTGGGAGAGCGGCTGCTTCCCGTCCCCTATCCAAGACCACCACGCAACGCTGTCGTTCCTGCACTCCATCGAGCGTTTGGTTCTCCAACACCTCGAGACGGGCTTTTCCTTGCTAGGTGAACTCGTCGGCAAGGATGTAGAGGGGGTTGCGGTGGACTTTGGCCAGGATGGTTCTCACGCTCCTGGACATGCAGTGTTGCGAAGGCCTTTTGGCTGGTGCCGCCGACCTTGAGGGGGACGACGATGACGACGACAACGGCGGCGGCGGGCGACGACGACGACGCCGACGTGGGCCAGAGTCCTGAGTGATGCTTCGTGGGGTCTCTTCGGAGGGCGCTCGTAGGCCTCTGGGGGGCAATTCTGGCGCCTCTTGGGAGCATCCTGCGGGCCTCTTGGGAGTCTCTTGGGGTTTAACGATGGGCGCTGACCAGGATGGCCCTCACGCTCCTGGACATACACACTACCTATAATACCACCCTTCGGGTGATACAGAGGTTGGTGAGTGGTGGGGGGAAAGAACAAGCTGCTGGCAAATGCGATGGATGTGATGATGAATGATGACGATACTGGTGACGCGCCCTCGAGTTAGCGACGACGCGTAATGGCGATGTTGCGCTACGATGTAATGTCACGTTTGATCTCACTATCGATCTTGCTATTGATCTCAGTATCGATGCCTCTATCGATCTCACAATGGATCTCACAACCAATGTCACAATCAACCCCAGTGTCGATCTCACTCTAGATCTTGCTATCCATCCCATTTTAGCGATCTCATTATCGCTCTCACTATCGACTCCCCTATGGATACCACGGTGGGACGCCCCTGGCCGCCGCCCGCCACCCGCTGACGGGACATTAACGGGACACCAACGGGGCACCACGGGACACCACGGGACACCACGGGGCACCACGGGACACCACTGCGGAACACCCCGGGCCATTGGCGGATGGTGTGGTCCTTTGCATCCGAACCGCCCTAGCGACGGCGGGATCATGCGGCGGGATCATTCACCTCGCGCGCCCGCGCAGCTTCGCCTCGCAAGCATGCGCGACACGAGCACGAAGCCGACACCGATTTCCCAGTGGGGGGGGTTCTCCGTTCCGCTGCGATCTCACCCCCCAACCTACGATTAACGATTAAGTCGGGCCTGTCACTCTACAGGAGGAAAATCAAACAGTAGGCAAACAATGATCGTGGGACGATTTGTTATGCTATTTTTGTTATGTGTGATAATTTGATCCGCCCTGCAGGGGGGCATGCCCGACCTAAACCTACAATTCGTACGAGTCGCATCGTCCGCTGCTGCCGTCGCTGAGGGTCCCGAGGTCACGCACTCCCTGGGGCTCCTAGTGCGGCCACCGCGGCCATCCTGGAGATGAGGTGCACGGGCGACTCATGCATCGGTGGCCCAGAGATGGGGTCCTGAGGGCTGGGGGCCTAAGGACGAGGCTTCTTGGGACCCTCAGGACGAGGCGTCTCAGGCATTGTATTTTCGCCTTTGGATTTAAGTCGGGCCTGTCCCTCTACAGGAGGAATGTTCAAAAATAGCCAGAAAATAGTCTGGGCCCGATGCTTCGCATACTTGTTTGACTATTCCGGGGTATGTGTTGAATCTTTTTCATTTTTTGTCCGAAATCCCGTGTAAAGGGACATGCCCTATGTACCTAACCTTGGGTCCCTTCCTATCCTTAGGGCCCGCATCCCTCAGGACCCCACCCTTGAACCGCCCGCTCACGTCGTGTCGGCCAGTGGCGACCCCGCTGCGCGGACGGTAAGCGTGGAACACCACCGGCGACACAGGATCGGCCGAGGCCGAACGTGCTGACGTTTCGGACACGGCCGATCGACCGAGGCCGAGCGATCCCCCGCGGTGTAGGGAGCCAGCGCCGACGTCGGCACGGCGCGAACCTGCCGTGCGCGACGCTGTGGACAGGGCCGCCGTACTGGGCCTCCGTCGTTATCCCCAGCGGACACTGGGCACAGCTCCGCCATCGTGAGGGGATCGGCGTGGCTGCGCTACAGTGGGGGCCCCTGCCAAGAAACACCCTTCTTGCCTCTAGGGTGCCCTGGGTTTCTTGGGTTTCGATGGTTTTGCGATGGAGCCCGTGACGTCCCCACATCAAGCATCAATAGACGTCTTGGGGTCTCAGGGTTGGGTTTCTTGCAGAAGGTGTCTTGTGGACTGACCTCCCCTGTACCCGCTTCCGCTGGAGGCCGACGCCTGCTTCACATGTGTGGGGGTCGACTTGATGCCCCAGCTTGACGACACGGTCAAGCGTGGGGGGCCTGCTCGGGGAGCATGTCTTTCTGCAGTTGCGTTCCCCAGGCTATGGATCCCCAGGCTATGGAGCGTGGGCTCGTTCTCGAGGGCGTGGCCAGAGCGCTCGGCCACGCCCGTCCGCCTTGCTCCGTGGAGAGCGACCTGAACTCCTTCGAGCGGCACCTGCAGGGGGCCGCCGGCTACCCATCGGCATTGCTGGAGAAGTTGGCTAGATGCTCGTTTTGGGGACACCCCTGGGGCCCAGCTAATGGATCTTTTCGGCTCGAGTCCGACTGTTTTTCCGACGCCATTTCCACTCAAGTTCGGTCCAGGTTCGATTCAGGTTCGACTCAGATTCCGTTCAAGTTCGACTCAACAAGTCGACGGACGTTCGTCGCAGTTTCGACGCACAAGTAGAGCGAGTAGCTCCAGGAAGGCCCCCAGACCGAGCAGCGACAGCTGGTCTCTGCAGGGCTGCGCAGATCCTTCCCCGAAGTCACAGAACATTTCTCAGATGGCGCGGGGGCGTCTGAGAAGCCCCGCCTCCTTCTAATAAGGACTCGCCAGCGCCTTCTATTCACTTCCCCCCCCCTCGCTCGCCGCCGATAAATGACGACGCTGGCGACGGTAGCACCGCTACGAGTCCACGATCCCTTTTGCCTGCTGGGCGTCGGGGGACGTGGCCGTCCGTGAGACTACGACCCGATTTCTGACTCACAGTTCTTGTCGGTTCGGTTGGTTCGCAGTCGGTTGAATCTGATCGGTTCGTTTCGGTCGGTTTATGAGCCTGTTCGTCGTTTTGGTAAGTCTTCGATCAACTGGTGTTGGTCGGTATCGCTTCCGATATATGATCGTTCGTTTTTCGATCGAGGCGTCGCCGTGTACGTGTATGACTACGGGGGTGTGGATGTCATGCCAGGCGCCATGACATCTTCCCGACTTCCTGTCCCCCGTCTCCTGCTCTCAATGCGCCCCTGGCCCTCATTCGAATCACATAGATGGCTGAATCACAAGGGTTGTCTTCGGAGGTTGCCGCGTATTTTGTGGCTCTGCGCTGGATCCCCAGCGCCTCTGTAGCCGCCCTGGGCGCGCTTCGCGCGCTAGGGAGGGATGAGATACGGTCAGGCAATGTCTGTCCGGCGATCTAATATGATGGTCCGGCATTTCCATACGACTGGCGTCCATGGAGCCGCGTGCCTTTGGTCATGTTGAGTGATGCTTTGGTTTTGGTTGATTTTTTGAGACGGTCTTGCCTAGAGACCGCTGGCATGCTCGTCTTACCAATGGAAGATATGATTTATGAGACTGCCTAGATGGCTCAAGGTAGCTTCCTATCCGGCCCCGATGAGGCAACGATGACTACTGATTTCAAGACGTGCAATAATCTCACATACGTATTAGTTATTCGAGATTCAGAACAGCCAGGACGGCTCAAGAGACCTCGAAGATGGCCACAAGACGGCCCGAATCAGCCCGACGGATGCCGAAGACCGCCCAAGTGAGCCCCAAGAAGGCCATCAAGGGCCCAAGGGGGGCCCTCAGCGGATCCGACGCTCCCAAGATGCCGAGAAGGGCCCCCCCCAGAACGTGTCAGAATCGACTCCATCAGCAGCGGCTCTGGACGTGCGCAAGAACGTGATCCCAAGACGGTTCCAACAGCTTCGAGACGGCCCAACGGGGGCCCAAGGTGGCCATTGTGAGCTCCAAGATAGACCCCAGAGGGCTGTTCGCGGCCGGCTGGAAGCGGTCACCACTCCGGACTGCCGCTTTGAAGTGCACCCTCTTCGCAGGGCCCGGCGAGAGGGGAAGATTTCTGGCGCCGGGTATTCCCCGAGGGAGCAGGGGGAGTAGCAGAGTTGATGCCCCAATGCATTTGCGCCCACAGGCGGGTTTCGCGGAGGCACGGAGCAAAGTAGTGGTGCAGCGGGGGGTTTAGGACGAGGACGTGGTGCAAGGAAGAGTCGGGCGGAAGGGGCCGAGGACATGAATAGGATTGTTGCGCAGGCGATTTCGACTTGTTGGGCGTAGGCGACGTGAGCACATCGCAGCCAGTGACAGGTGCGCGGGGGGCCTCTTCTCCGTCTCTTGTGCCACCTCCGCATTGTTCCTCCTCTGCCATCTCGCCCCTTCGCGCCCCCGATCCACGAGTCCCCCTCCGAAGAAGCAGGCCGAGCAGGAAAGATGGAGAGCTCTGGGATGCACCGCCAGGGGGCTGTTCGGACGCAACCCCGTCGAGGATGGGCTGTTCGGACGCACCCCTGTCGTTTATCCCCGAGCTGAGCCCCATTCGTTGGCCCAGTCGCCATGCCCCCCGGCTACCCTGGGCCAGACCACAGAGGCGCTCGCAGTGCCTGCAGTGCCTTGCGAGCTACCGCTGCAGGGCACCCAGAGCCTGGCGGCTACATCTACCCGCACAGTAAGGATGGGCACCGTTCCCAAGGGTGCCCTTGCATCCGTGCCCCTTCGGCCCATCCTGACAGACTTTCGCTGGCCAGATCGTTCCAAAAACGTTTGTGTGGGCCTCCAAGGCCCTTGCATCCTTACCGCAAATCATTATGATACTGGTTGACTGCATCGCTGAAAAAGCACGGTCGGAGCCCTGGGACCCTTTCGTCTTGTGGCATCATCCGGCGCGGATCGGCCCGCCAGGAGCTTGTTTTTTGTTCGCTATGCCGCCTTGGCTCGCTATTACTGGCCCATGCCTTTAAAGTCGGGCCTGCCCCTGCAAAGGCGGAACACTTATTTATTACAACAAAAATCCGGGGACGGTGTTTCCGCTATGTTTGCCTGTGCTGGGTCATGGTTGGACTATCTTCTGTTTTTCTGCCAAATCCGCCTGCAGGGGGACATGCCCGACCTAATGCTACCCAGGCCGAACCCTTCCCCTTCGCCCCAGGTAGGTATCGGGGCTGGACAGAACCCCCAACAGTGACACGTCGATTAGTGAATTGTCCGTTTTCGGTTCTCGAGAGGGGCCGTGGCCGCTGTTCTCCAGGCTTGCGCCCGCCAGGTTTGGGCCTCAGGTCGTTCTCACTAAACCACGTTTTGCTGAAGGGGGTCTGTCCATCCCCGAAGGTAACCGTAACGATCGTACGCGAGGAGGGGGGCTTGGCCTCGTTCCTTATTTAAGGTTCCTTAGGTCAACGCCCCCACTGTAGGGGGACATGCCCGACCTAACGCTACCCAGGCCGAACCCTTCCCTCTTCGCCCCCGGTAGGTCACCGTAACGATCGCACGTGAGGAGGGGGGCTTGGCCCCCCCCCCCACCCACATGCGGGTGCTCGCGCGCGCACCGTGGCGACCGCAGCGCACACCCCCGCCCTGGCGTAGCCCATGCCGCTCGAGCGTTACGCATGACGAGATTAGTTTTTTCTCTGTTGAACTTGCGTTGATTGGAGGAGGATGGGGGAGTGGAGGAGGGGGAGGAGGAGGAGGAGGAGGAGTAGGGAGGAGGGAGGAGGGAGGAGGGAGGAGGGAGGAGGGAGGAGGGAGGAGGAGGAGGAGGAGGGAGGGGGGAGGGAGGAGGTAGGAGGCAGGGAGGGAGGAGGGATGAGGGAGGAGGAAGGGAGGCGGCAGGAGGGAGGAGGGAGGAGGGAGGACGCCCCCCCCCCCCCCCCCCCTTCCGAACGCACGGACGGGGCCAGGTAGCGCCCCCCCCCCCCAACAGGCATGGCGCCGTGCTCACAAGCATGGTGTGGTGCTGACAGACATCGGAGCGCCTCCAGACGCTGCCTCGAGAACCTCCAGAAACCTCCTGAGGCCTCCAGAGACCTGTGGTGACCTTCAAAGGCGGCCGTCGTCGGAGTCGGAGTCGGAGTCGTCGTCGTCGTCGTCGTCGTCATCGTCGTTCTCGTCGTCGTCGTCGTTGTACTCGTCGACGTCGTCGTCTTCTTCGTCTTCGTCATGGTGGTGATCGTCGTCGTGGTGGTCGTCGTCGGCGTCGGCGCCGGCGCCGGCGTCAAAGTCGTCGTGGTCGTCGTCGTCGCCGTCGTCGTTGCCGTGTCCGAGGTCCTCGGAGGGCCTCGGAGGCCTCTGGAGACCTCTGGAGACCTTCAGAGGCGGTCGTCGTCGTCGTCCTCGTCGTCCTCGTCCTTGTCCTCGTCCTTGTCCTCGTCCATGTCCTCGTCCTCGTCGTCGTCCTCGTCCTCGTCCTCGTCGTCGTCGTCATCGTCGTCGTCGTCCGACGCCTGGTGCCCCCCCGGTGGGCTCGACCACGTTAGCCGTACCCTTTCTCCCTCGTAACGGACCCTACGGGAGGGGAACAGTAGGTAATGTCTACCCTGGGCCCCAGGTTTCACCCCACTCCCCACCCCTCCTGGGCAGTGACCGCCATGGGGGGGTGAAGGGCCCCTTTTGGTGCCAGCAGGGGCCCAAAAGGGCCCCTGGAGGACCCGCTTCTTTACCCAAATCTAGGTCACCACCCATTACCACCCGCCCGAATATCGAGGGCACCGCGGCCCAGGATCGGGCGAAAACGCTTGGTGGGGAAAACATGCTATGCCCAGATCTCAGGGCTTGGCGGCGCAGTTGGGATTGGCGGCGCGTGCAGGGAGGAGGCGCGAGGGGAGCAAACTTCTAAGAAGGCGTGGGCTTCTAAGGAGGCAGGTGGCTTCTTAAAAGGGCTTTGAGGCTTTTAACAAGGCTACTGAGAAGTTGGGAGAAACTCTTAGAAAACACATGCCCTCTTAGAAGCCCCCGCCCTTCTTAGTCCACCCCCCTGGCGCCTCCTCCTGGCGTCCGCCGCCAGTCGTGGCTCGATCGAGGAACAAGTAGCACACATCGTCTATGGCTCGCGTGACGGTTAACGGCAATTCCAGCTTCGAAGGGGTAGCTCTTTATAATATGCGTGTTTGGGCTCTCCGCCGTGCAATCTGGAACGATTGATATCCATGGGTTCTTGGGCCCGGGCGAGAAGGCTCATGCTCTTGACCGACGTCCTTGTGGCCATGTCTCGACTGCAGGCACAGAGTGTGCGCAGATCTTGGATCGGCGCTGGAGCCCCCCTCCCCCACACCCAGGCGAAGGGTCGGGTGCACACCACCCACCAAACCACCCCAACCCAACCCGAAGGCTTTCATTTTTCTCTCCATCTCTAGTGGGGGGGGTCAGGGAACACTGAACAAGCACAGCGGGAACCCTTACCCCCCCCCCAGCCCGAATTTCGGGTCTTCGGGTTGGGTTGGGGTGTTATGGTAGGTATTCAGGTGTACCAGAGGTGGCCTGACCTGCTCTGGCCGAAAGCGGCCCCAGGTTTTCCCAGGAGGCCCCCACGGTCTCCAGAGCACCACATCACGAGCCTCCAAACTGAAGCGCAACCACGGGGGCACCCTGGGCCAGGGATTTCGTCAGCAACCTCCGAGATAGGTTTGGGGAGGGGGGTCTCAAACAGCGTTAGTTTATGCAGCTGGTTGCTCTTCTAATTGAAGCGCTCACTCGCACTCGAGTCTTCGACGCTCGTCGAGGGACGCGTACAGTGGAGACCCATGCCAAGAAACACCCTGCTTGCCTCCAGGGTGCCCTGGGTTTCTGTGGAAAGCGTGACGTTCCCACACCAGAAATCCATGGACGTCCTGGGGTCTCAGAGTTGGGTTTCTTGTGGAAGGTTTCTTGTGGTCGGGGCCCTACTGTACAGATAACGCCGCGCCGTTCGCGGCAGGCGCGAGCACGCAGAGCAGTCTTAAGAAGGGGAGTGTGCCGGGCGAACGGAGATCCAGACCCTGCCAACTTGCGCCTCCGCTCCTCCCCCATGCCTCCTCCCTCCCGGATCCCGCTTGCACGTGGCTCGCGTCACAGTGGGAGCGCGCCCACGCTCGCACCCGGGTGACAGCGGCCGCTCCCCTGACGATCACGACGGGGACGATGGCGACGGTGATGGCGAGTGCGAGGACGGCGACGATGACGTTGCCTAAGATAACGATCGCGATGACGAGGATGACGTGGACGACGGCGCTGACAAGGGAGGCTGAGGGCGAAGGTGAGGAAGAGGGGTACGAGCGAGGATGCTGGAAACGAAGCGGAGATCGAGGTGGAGGAAGAGGTCATGGCGTAAGTGGTGGGACCCCGAGCACGTGCCAACCCACCGGTATCCCAGCATTGAGAGGAGGTGCGAGAAATTAGGCAGGAGAGGGAACAGAGGAGGTCCACGCCCACGGCAGCGAAAGCGTCGACGGCGGCGACAGAGAGGACGTCGGCAACGACGGTGACGCCGGTGACGACGGCGACGGGGGCAACGACGAGGCCGCGCACGAGCACGAGGACAGCGGCGACGACGACGACGACAACGACCTCCGAGGAGGAGCGATGAGGATCGAGGCTCCATCGGCGCGGCGAGGGTGGCGTCCGCAAGCGGCGGGGGGTCGCCGCGCGGTGGGCGGGCCAGGCGCGAGCCCGCAGCAGGCGGCGGCGCCGTTCGACCTGTTCTCGGCGGCGCCGGCTGCGCAGGCTGGGGGCTTCGGGGCCGCCTCAGAGGAGGGCAGGGTGAGACAAGGGTGACGTTTTTGCCTTTTTCGCCTCCGAGGGGCCTCCTCGTCGCCACGGCTGGACGCAGCGTGAAAAATCGGTGCGTTTGGACCACGGGAGGGGTCCGGGGACCGATTTTGAGCCGATTTGGCCACCATTGTCTCACGGCCGTTGTCTCACGTTGCCTTCCTCCGACCGCCGAGCCGCGCGAGGGGGCCGAAGAGGAGGAGGTAACGCTACCGCGGCAGGCGGAGCCAGGCATCAGAGCGGGGCCGGTTCGGGGAGGGTGCCCAGATGCTCTCTGTGTTCGTTGGGCGTGCTGGTGCATCCTGGGGGGAGGGTGGCCTCGAGGGCTCGTGTTGGTCGGCGGAGGGTCCCATTTCCCTGAAGGGTGTTCTTCTGCCCCAGGTGCGACTGCCCTCTGTATCAACGAGGCGCAGAAGGGGGGTAGGGGAGAGGGGGGATGGGTTTCTTAGAAGCACCCCTGCTTCTCGGGCGGCGCGGGCCTTGTCCATAAATGTAGGGCCGGCGCCGTCCAAGAAGCAGCCTCCTTCCGAGAAGCCTTCGCCCCTCCCCGTACCCCCTTCTGCACGCCGCCGACCTTGCCTCGTGTTGGCCTGTTGTGGGCCCTGGGGAGGGGATCGTCGCCCTGGCTCGAGTCGCGTCGGCATCCTGGTCAGAACGCACTTCGCAGGGAGCAGCGGTAGTGGTATCTCCTGGCTTCCCCAAGCGAGGGTCAGCGCCGGCAGGGGTCTGATATCTTCGAAGGTTCTCAGGGCCTAGGTGGTGTCCGTCAGCCGCGCCTCGTCGAGGGACGCCCGAACAATGGTCTGTTGCCTCGGCGTACTGTATCGTAAATCCCCCGCGGCGGATCCAGGCCATTTGCGAGTAGTTTCTTTGTGAGTCGTGAAACGCGCTTGTATACAAGCCGAGAGTTCACAGGTCAGAGAAGGTGCGCTCTGAGGTCTGGTTGTCGTAAAGCAAAACAGACGCCTCGGCAGGGCTCTCATTGTTTTCAGCCGCCCTGGGTCGTCGAATCACGACCCAGAGTAGGAGAGGAGAGGGTTGGGTTGTGCGGTCCTCCTGCTGTGGTTTGCCATGAGGGGGAAGGACCGGGCTCGCCGCCGGTGCCGCCGCGGACGTTGTCCATGGAGACGAGAAGTCGCCTGTCCAACAGCGGCCGCCGTGGGTGATGGATAGCATGTGATGTGATGTTGGGCAATTGCCGATCCTCGGTCCTCGGTCGAGCCTGGGTCCTCGGTCGAGCCTCCTCGATCGAGGAACGAGGATCGAGGAGGAGCCAACCCTCGGTCGAATTCTTGATCCTCGATGGCGTGCCAGTCCTCGATCCTCGGTCGAACCTCCTCGATCCTCCCCGGTCCTGCTCGGTTCGAGAATCGAAGAAGAGGAGGATCAAGGGTCGATGAGAAGGATCGAGGGTCGAGGATCGAGGGGGAGGAAGAGAGGAGGATCGAGGAGGATCGAGGGGGAGAAGGATCGAGGGTCGAGGATCGAGAAGGAAGAGGAGGAGGATCGAGGGTCGAGGCCGTTCGTGGCGGATCCAAGGATTGATTGGGCGAACCATCAAGAATCCCAAGCGTTCGAGGAGGATCGATGAGTCGAGGAGGGCTTGTTTTTTCGGCTGGCGCTGGTTGCGCAGACCTTTGACGGGAACTCCAGACCTCAGGCGGCTCGGCCGAGGAGCGAGGAGCATGGGGGATCGAGGAGGCGAGGAGGACTGCAGGTCGAGGACGTTCGAAGAGCATCGGGGATCGAGGAGGGATCGAGGAGGGTCGAGACTACAGGACCAGGGACGATTCAGGAGAATCGAGGATTGACACCCAGCACCTGATTCGACACCTTCGGTATCGCTCTACGACTGTAAACCTGAAACGTGGTACCGCTGCCTACACGGGATCCTATTTGTGGACCGCTGCCTACACGGGATCCTACTCGTGGTCTATGTCGTGGCCGCGCAGGTGAGGAAAGTGCGCTTGCCGTCTGAGCGGCAATGCCTTATTGGACGCGCATGCTGTGCATTTCTACCCGCATGTCCGCTCTGCTTTCTCACGGCATCTTGCACGTGCAGCTTGTTGAGGCTATTCCGGCGTTCGCCCTGGGCCTCATGGCGTCTCCCCGTCGCTCGGATGTCCGAACTATCTTTTTTCCCTCAAAAATATGTGGGACGCGCATATCCCTGGACATCCGACGATGCGGGCCCTGACTCCATTTTTGGTGGCCCCAGGGCACGACAAGGGGGTGTGGAGGCAAGCGTGATGTTTCTTCTGTACATTTGGTCGCTGTCACGATCGATGATACGGATGAGGAGGAGGAGGAGGAGGAGGAGGAGGAGGAGGAGGAGGAGGAGGAGGAGTAAGAGTTGGCCTGTGTGTGGGGAGTAGGATCTCATGAAGAGGAGGAGGCCGGCAAGGCGCAGGAGGATATCATGAAGAGGAGGAGGAGGAGGAGGAGGAGGAGGAGGAGGAGGAGGAGGGGGAGCCCCAGAGGCAGGCATCGAGGCAAAACGCTGCGACTGGGGCGTCGTCGGGTCGTTGGACATCTGGGGAGGCCTCCGCCGGCACCTCTCAGGAGGAAAAGAAACACACAGACACAATTAATCCTCGATTCCCCAGAAAAAAAAGGGAAACTATGGGAAGTGGGGGGAAGACAGAAACCCAGAAAATGTAGGAAAATATGGGGGATCGTTTTATGTGTGTGCATTTATTGGTGTATCCCGGGGCCCCTTCAACCTCTCCCCGAGCCGGTCGGCGGTCGCGGCAGGCGCCGGCGGCCCCTTCGGCCCCCGTGGCCGCGCAGCCGCCCATGGCAGGCGCCGGGCGCCGCCGCCCGGGGGGGAGCCGGGGAGCGCCCGGCTCTCCTGGAGGGCCGGAGGGCGTAGGGAAAGAGTGCGAACGACGACGACGACGACGACGACGACGACGACGACGACGACGACGACGACGTGGAGGAGGATGACGACGACGCGGAGGAGGAGGAGGAGGAGGAGGGGGATGACGACGACGCGGAGGAGGAGGAGGAGGAGGAGGAGGAGGATCAAACAGTGGCGAAGCGTCCTGGCTCGCTGATAGACCTGCCAAGCAGTGTTCTATGAACCGTTTGTGGCTTCACGGAATGTTCTCAGAGCATTGTTGGCGGAGTCTGTCTTGTTTTATCACATCGTGTCTATGTTCTAAGAACATTGTTTTTGTTCTTAGAACATTTGTGGGCTCTAAGAACATTGCGTGGTAGGACTATAGGAATGCCGGGACGGTCGGTCCCTGCTCAAGAGGAGGGGAGGGACCGATCGTCCCGCGGATATCTTGGATCCGCGCTGGGCCCTCCAGGCGGCGCCTCCGGGGCTGCCCCTCGGTCGCTCCGCTCGCCAGGGAGGGGGCTACAGCGCGGAAGCAAGGAATCTGCGCGGAGTGCCAACAACTTCTGTGTATGGCGTCTGTCCTTCTTAGAAGATTACTTGCTGTCTGTGTCGCCGTGGGAGCTGTCCACCTGAGACAAAACATCGCCCGCCCAACAGACGCCGCTCTCGAATTTGGACCGTATTCGAAACGTGTCGCGTATTCCCTCCAGCCCATATCCAGAAACGATGCCCAGGTTCGTTGTCTTGATGAGGGGTGTGCAGGCGTCGAAGACAGGTCTGGAGAAGCCGTCATACCCCATGAGGGGGAGGATGGAGGAGGAATCGGAGAAGGAGCGGAACGGGATCGAGGAGGAGGGAGGACGAGAATAAGGCGGACGAGGAAGAGAAGGAGGAGGAGGAGGAGGAGGAGGAGGAGGAGGAGGAGCAGGAGGATGGCGAACAGAGAAGGCCAGTGGTTTCCTGGATGCCTCCTCGGAGTCTCTTCGGATGTCTCTTGAGAGCTTCTTGAAGTCCTCTTGGGGCTTTTGGGGGCCTCTTGGTGGTCTCGGGGGTCTTTTGGCATGTCTTTTGTGCATCCGGGGAGCCTCTTGGGCTCGTCTGGGTGTCCCTTTGGAGGCCTATTGGGCACGTCTTCGGGGCCCCTTTGGGCCTCCTGGGCGCCTCGTGGGGGCACTCTTGGGGACCGTGGGGCCGTCTTGGAGGAGACCGATCAAAGAAGGGGGGCTACTCGAGTAGCCTCGCCCCTCTGGAGCCCTAAACCAGCCTCTCCGATCACTTGGTCCTTCATGAAGCCATCTTGAAGCCTCGGAGGGCCTCTGAACGCGAATAGGCGAGAAGGCAGGCAACACAGTATTCATCTTGGCAGGTGCGCGGCGCGTACATGAGACACGCGTTTTACACACAGCCGCACGCATGCTCACACGCAAAACACATGCGCTCAAGATTCGAAGGGCGTGGCAGGCGTGGCAGGCGCACTGCATCACGCACCCAAGACGTAAGCGCACGGTCGCCCAGGGCATCGCATGCGTGGCATCTTCTAGACGCCACAGGGGGTGCTGTGGGGATGGTGGCGCTAGGCGTTGGAGGCTCGCAGGGCGTGGCAGGCGTGGCATTTCCTCGACGCCACAAGGGGGTGCTCTGGGGGTGGGGGCGCTGTGCGCTGCAGGCTCGCAGGGCGTGGCAGGCGTGGCATTTCCATGACGCCAGAAGGGGTGCGCTGGGGAGGGGGGAGCGCTATGCGTTGCATGCTCCCGCTGTGCGTTGCATGCTCCTGCTGTTCGCTGAGATGTTCCATCGGAGGGCATTCACACATTGCATGCATGTGGAGTACGTTTGCTTTGCACGTCCTTTGCGCGCGCAGCTCAGAGACTCTCCGCCAAAAAGACGCGGAGACAGACACGGAAGTTGCATGGGAATAAGTGATGAGAAAGTAGACCGGTCTAGTTGAGAAAACGGGGCAGGGGTGCGGGAGAACGCAGCAGGAGGGGATGGAGAATGGGTCACTCTAGAGGCTCCCTAAATCGCTTGTGCGAGGGGTTTGGTTTGCAATGGCAGACAGTGGGCCCCCTGACTGACCACGATGTGGCAGATCCTCGCGCCGTACTTC